TCCATATCTTTCTCTGCTTACTCTTTTTTATCAAAGTTATTGGCACTTAGTTAATATGATTAGTGTATATTTAAAATCATTACTTTAATATCTTTGCAATTTAGTTTTAGATAATACCAGTGGAAAAAGGTTACTAAATAAACCAGTGAAGAATATATTAATGATATACAGTGTTTCGTTCTTGCAAAAATTAATATATTAACTGCATATTTTGACAAAATTAAAATATTGTAAAACACCGTGCAAAAATTGTTGTTTTGTTTAACCACGTTTCTTTTCCATTTTGACTTGACGAATAAGTATTTATCGTTGGTTATCTTCCAATTCCACAAGCATTAATCATTTTCAAATAATTGTTGTAATTAATTATTTAATTACTTCAAAATTTCCCAGTTTGTTCATCTTTTTTTTCAAAATATTTCGTTCCTCTTACTGTTGTTGCTGATTCAAGACAATATTTATTGAAAATGCAAAGTAAGAAATCGATTTTCTTACCATTAGTCATCAGTTAAATCTTTTTTAAATTATTGACTTATTTTTAGTTGAAATTCATATTATTCCATAAGCTTAACCAACAATCTTTGACTAATTTTTGAGACATAAACATTTGGATGCTTTTAAAGTTCGAATGTCGACTTCTTCTTTAAGCTCTAAACATTTTTAGTCACTGAAACCAAAGTCTTGCTCCTTCAGTCCAATTTACAATTCATATTAAAACTATTACAAAAATTTTTTATCAAAAAATTTTGTTTTATTAGCTGACTTATGTTTGCTGTATATATAAAAATAAAATAAAATGTGAAGGTTAGTCTCCGTTTTCGCTCTATTGATTCTGGTGCTGGATCGTATTCCGGCACTCTGGCTGTACTTGTCGCGCGCTCAGATTTGTTGTGCTCATCGTTTTCGCTTCGTCCTCATGGAACCCATATTAATTGTCAAAGGAAATGCTTACGAGAGTATTTTTGAGCACTATCGATTGAATCTATGCCTCGACGTGATCAGATATACTCATCTCGATTACATATCGCTTTCGCTAATACGTTTTCCACAATAGGATTTTCTGCGAGGTTGTGCCTAGTATTTAGGTAGGGTACAATAATTGCTAAGTGCGTGTTATGAGCTTTCTCCTGCTTCAGAATCGCTACCCTCTTCATACAAATGGGCGCAATATCTACAAGAACATTATGTAGTTGGAGAAGCATATGCTCACTCCTTTGCTTAACATTTTGAAGTCCACGTCCTAGCTCGTCCCTTGGCAGGTGCAGTCGTTACTCCAAGCATGCAGGTTGCTTGTGAATTCCGGATTTGATTAGAAACTCCCTGATATCGTTGTCTAAAGCTTTGCAATCTTCTGGCTCTAGCTGAAGCGCCTCGACGTAATAATTTATTAAACTTATTGCGTGCTCATTCACCGCCTTCATAAAGTTCTTGCCATTCTGTGCAGTTTTGGCTAGCTGCTCAATTCTCACTAAAATCTCTGCTCGGACTCTTCTTGATTCTCCCATTGGATCGTGTTTTGGCACTCTTACTCGCTCTGGTCGACCGGCAATCCGTTCTGCTGGTTCCGGTACACAGCTCAAATAAACCAAGAAATTCACTGCTTTGAGAAAATTAATCACATTTTACTGAATCATTATTTGTTAAATTAAATGTAAATAAATATGCTACAAGCGCATTTAGTTGTGCTATTCCTTGCATTTGCTTAAAATAACAAATAATAAAAAAAATCATGATGCAACAGTAAAAATTAGCCTTTAAGACTTTACAGCGATAAATTACTGCAGATAAGAGCGTCAAATGGTGTGTAATAAAAATATTTAATTATTAAATGGTTTCAGGAATTTTTGTATTGCTAAATTTATATTTGAAAATCATCTTCTTCGAAACATGACAAGCTGGATAAGACAAAATTTGTTATTGGTATTAACAATTGCCTCAGTAATAACAGGGGTTTTACTGGGTTTTATGGGACGATCTCTTGATCTAAAATCCCAAACTGTAGTGCTGTTTGGCTTTCCGGGAGAAATATTGATGCATATGCTGAAACTCATGATTTTACCCCTTATAATCAGTTCACTTATTTCAGGTATATAACATATCATTTTTATATTTTCTGTTATTAATTCATTAAAATAACTGATTTAATAATTGTGCTTTCCACTTTTTCATATGAAATTAAAATTAATTTCAAGATCAGAAAAGCAAGAATAAATACGTGTTGTCTAATAATAATACGTGATTTAGTACAAAATTATGCTTTCTTTTTTTGCTTATTATTCTATAAAAGTAATTCAGATTTTTAAAGAAGCCATGTTGAAATTATTTATTCTTGCAAAGCTTTTCTTCTAATTTTAATCCTAAGAGTTAAACAAAAAACTCAATTCCAAATAAATAATCAGCAAAACAATGTGAATAAAAATCCTTCAAATTTGTTTGCAAATTACAACTAAAATAAAAGAAAGCATCAGAAAATGATTGAAATTCGTAGATGATTCAGTTACTTTATTAGCAGCATTAAAAAAGCATGGATAAGCTTTAACTTCTTTCAGTTCAGAGTTTGATTAATAAGAAATGTACGAGAAGCATGATGTAAAAGAGCTGAACAGAAATTCGGTACTAAAAGTCTTAATTTTTTGGTATATCATTCAACTGCACTGATTATTTGCTGATTAATATTAATAAATTAGACACAGACATAAAGTTTTCAATCACTTTATTTATTACAAATTCATAAAAATTTTATTTTAGGTTTGGCACAATTAGATGCAAAACAGTCTGGACGTTTGGGCTCTCTTGCTGTACTTTACTATGTTACAACCACTGCTATCGCTGTTGTCGTAAGTTTTCAAAATATCACTATTGTAAAACTAGGAAAACAAATTAAACATTCAAGTGAGCTTTCTTCTTTTTTTAAAATTATACATCACGTAAATTTCACGTGTAGCTAGATTAAATTAAATAAAAATTGAAGCGAAAATTTTTTTACTTTAGACTGGTATATTTCTCGTATTAGTTATTCACCCTGGTGATCCTACGATCAAGCAAAATATTGAAGGAACTACAGAAGCAAAATCAGTCAGCTCACTTGATGCATTTCTTGACCTATTGAGGTCAGATTTTTCCCAAATAATTTTTTTTTGTTTGAGGGAAAATGAAAATAAGTTTTTCTAACATTTAGTAGTTGTATACTTTTGCATCCACTAAGCATTACTTTGTTTTTCAAAAAAGGAATAAAATTGTTTGTAATTATTTGCGTATTTAAAAACTTCAGAAAAATATTATATTCATTTCAATTATCAGTAATTAATAAAAGTGGAATAAATGGTTGGTATTGTATAAATTAATTTTTGATACTAATACTTTGCAAGTTATTGAAAATGACTTCAAGATATATTTCAAATAATTGATTGTTGCAGAAATACATTTCCCGAAAATATTGTACAAGCGACATTTCAACAAGTACAAACGAAATATATTCCTATCAAGGTTAAAGTTTTAGAAAAGAACAATTCAGAAACGTTAGAAGCATCTGCTAACAGCTCATTCACTGTCATGAAGCCGTCCGTTGAATACGTTTCTGGAATGAATGTTCTTGGTATATATGTTTTTTTTTCTCTAAAGAATAATAATAGTGAAATAATACTATTAAATTAAAATTCTTTTGCATACTCATTGTTTAGTTATTAAACAGTAAGTATGGAAAGAAAAAACATTTGAATTTTGCAGCAAATTTAAAATTAGTTCCAAAAAGTTTTCTGGGAAAAATTGAAACACTTGCAAAAATATAACAGATTCAATAAAATGCTTGCTCTCAGTTTATGATGTTAATTCTGCGCAAACCATATTATTTGTACATCTTTTATAGAAGTATTTTTCAGGCATAATTGTATTTTCTATATCATTTGGCATTGTATTAAGTCAATTGGGTGAACAAGCTCGCACAATGGTTGAATTTTTTTCTGTAATGGATCAAGTAATCATGAGACTTGTTATGATTATTATGTGGTATAATTTTAGAACTGTTATTTAGCTGAATTTTTTTCTGTAATGGATCAAGTAATCATGAGACTTGTCATGATTATTATGTGGTATAATTTTAGAACTCTTATTTAGCTGAATTTTTTATTAGATCATTATTTAATAATTGTCTTTAGGTAATAATTTTTTCCCAATTTGAAGGTATTGTTTTTATATTTATAATGTCATATAAGTGAAAAAAATTAAATAATCAAATAGTGAAGGAAAAGAGTTAAGTTTTACTTAAAAGCAATGATTAAATGATATAATAGACAAATGATAATTTCTGATGATTAAAAAACTAAGCAAAAATGGTATTTCATGTAGAATGAGCTGAAAGAATTATAGGTATTCACCAATAGGCATAATGTCTTTAATAATCGGAAAAATCTTGGAAATTGATGACTTGGCTGATATGGCTCGAATGTTGGTACTTTACGTAGTTACTGTATTAATTGGACTATTTATTCATGCTTTTATCAGCCTACCATTATTATTCTTCGCTTGCACCAGGAAGAATCCATTTGTTTTCATGAGAGGCTTAGTACAAGCATGTGTTACTGCTCTCGGCACTGCTTCCAGGTTGCCATCCTTTTACTTTTACTTATATCATGCATTCATATTAAGAACTGCATTATTACTTATTATTTTAGTCTAAAAAAGACAGATTATCATGAAATAATTTTTGTTAACTTTCAAATAATTTAGAGGTGAAAGAGTTATTAATGACTTATTATTGTTATGCTCGTTGTAGCAATTTATTAATTTGTCATGCTCAATTTTCATTTTGAGCATTTTTATTTAGCAATTGTTGTGACATTTTTTTATTGAAATTTCTTTAAATTACTTCAATCTTCTTCAGTTTTTAAATTTTGTTATTATCTTAAGTAACATTTTTTCTTACTCAGATTATTCCTACACTTATTTTTAATAGTCATCCAATAGTCATAATTTTATGTTGCGCATATGTATTTGTTTTTATTAATAAACTGATCATGTAGTAGAGTGTGTTAATAGTAAACCTTACTTTGTCCTTGATCGACTTTATAGATTTATATACTATGATTTTTATCATTATTTTATAACAATTTCAGTTCAGCAACACTACCAATGACAATGAAATGTTTGGAGGAAAATTTAGAAATTGATCGACGAGTCACACGATTTGTGCTGCCTGTTGGAGCCACTATTAATATGGTAATGCTTTTTATTTTAAATTCTAAATGTCCCATATATTTCAAAAATTTTATAGTTTTTGGTGAAAAAATTTTAAAACTTGATGAACTGTGACCAGAACATCAAATTTTTTTAGTACCATAGTCTGATTGTGATAACTCGATCAATAAATACTTGTTTTTATTAGTGTTTAAAAAGTATTGATCTAAATTAATAACTTCTAAAAATTTGAATATTTAATAATATTAAATGAATACAGCAAATAATTAAAATTTGCTTTCCATGATAATTATTGTTAAGGATACTAAAAGTAATATACTATTAAAGCAATTTTAACTACACATTCAACACTCTTTAACTTAACAATAAGGGAAATTAATTGTTGTAATGAAAATTTGAAATTATTTGCTTTGTTATTAATAGGATGGTACGGCACTCTATGAAGCAGTCGCAGCTATATTCATCGCACAAACAAACGGAATTGAACTCTCAGTTGGTCAAGTAATTACTGTTAGGTTAAACTTATTCAAATTTATGCTCTTAATTGCTATTTTTTTATTCAGTAATAAAACCAAAATATTTTTTCATCCATAAAATGGATTTATAATCACTGTCATTCTTTCATTCTATCATTATATCTTTGTATTATTTTAAGTAAAATTATGGAATTTGAATATCTATCAAACCTTACAAACATTTTTCTACAATATTATTTTTTGATAAAGTTTTAACAGATGTTACTTTCAAGATATGATGAAAATGTTTTCAAATTTTTGAAATTTATTTTTTGCTTTCCTTTGCCATTTGTCGTGGATGGTTGTTTGATTTGAAATGACGTTTATTCAAAATTACAAAATTTATCGTGCTTTTGCTCTAACAGTGAAACTAGAAATATTTCAGTTTGACAGCGACTTTAGCATCGATAGGTGCAGCATCTGTGCCATCAGCTGGTTTGGTTACAATGCTAATTGTCCTAACAGCCGTTGGTTTACCAGTGAAAGATGTTTCACTCATTGTTGCTGTAGATTGGCTTTTGTAAGTTGTGATGGATAAATTTTTGATTGAGGTTTAATAAAACTTTGTAATTCAAATTTTGTACCATTTTTGTAAATATTAAATTAACTGTGATATTTTTGTTTGTTTGTGTACAATCAATATGTCTAAAATTTCTTAGAAAAAATTTTAAAACTGTTGAAAAAAAAGAATACTAAAGTTTTTAATCAAAAATTGAAAAACTCATGCATTTATCACTTTGTTAGCATTTCCATATTAAAGAAATAAATTCAAAAATCATCAGAAAGATAAAACTGATTCTTTCTGTGTGTGAACTACTCCTCAAAATATTGTAAATTTAGTTTATATCATACATATTATACAAAATATTTTTCCCATAAAAATGTCCAAAAATGGAAAAATTAAGAGCAGTTTAGGTGCTTACTTATTACATAATTATCAGATTTCTTAAATTGTTTATTTTATTTCTAAATAGTTTTATCAAAATAAAACCAAATGCTATTTTTTCCGACTTTTTTAAAATTATCTCGAAGCAAATTAATGATTTATTTCTTTTAGAGATGCAAAATTTAGATTAAAACAAGCATATAAAACAACTGAATTAAAATTGTAGAGATCGAATTCGAACTTCAATCAACGTACTTGGTGATGCATATGGTGCTGGAATCGTACATCATTTCAGTTTAAAGCATTTAGCAGTTACTGATTCTGAACGTCGATCATCTCATCCAACATATGACGACCATGGTAATCATAATCTTATTTTACAATTGCATGAGTGATAATTTCATAAAATTTGCGTTAACTGATATTTTATTTTTAAATTTTCCAGCAGTACTTTTAATTTAAATATAATTTTGTCAATCAAATTTTTTCATCCATAAAATTAATTCATTATAATTGTCACTCTTTTATTCTCTTATTATATTATTTTAATTAAAATTTATAATTTCAGAAATGAAAAAGGTAACTTGAGTTTTGTATAGATCACAAATTTGGAATGCAGTCTGCAGTTTAAGTAATAATTCAACTTTGAGTTGTTTAATTTGTTTGTTCTCATATGTTCACTCAAGTAACTCAAGTATCGCTTATGCTATTGTTTTATTCCATTTATATATTAATTGAACTTAATACTTAAAAAATACTAAAACAATTAACAACCAATTTTTTTCTTTCACCCTATAAAAAGAAGTTTTTGTTTTGATCAAAAATACATGAAAAAAATTTAACGGTTGAATTTTTTAATGCGTTATTCATGTTTGTTGTGTATTTTAATTTGACTTATTACTTACTGATTACTTTTATAATTTTATAAGTTTAAAAATTTGAGTGAGGAGCAAAATTAGCTCCTTCTTATATCTACATGTACGTGCAAAAATAAATTTGTTCGAGTTCAATTGACTAATGCTAGTTTCTTGCTACCAACAGCTTTAATTTCGAGAATAAAAATTTCAAATCTTTTGTTACTGCTGTAGGCAATATTTTAAATTTGATCCTGGTTCAGGGCAGTTGTTATCAAGTTCCAAATGCAGTAATGGTCCAGCATGGACGACAGACTCAAAAGGCTACACGACCGTACCAACTGAAGATGAAAAGTAATTCACTTGAAATAATATGCGATTCAACGAAAGTCTGATCAAAGCTGCAAAAAATTCAATGAGCTTTTTTTCATTTTTAACTGAATGTTATAAAAAACGTAATTGTAGTAATCTTCAGCTATTAATCTGCGTGTTAATTTTATTTTTTAACTTCTGACTCATTTATTTCCTTTCACTGTAAATAGTCATTTTTGCTAACACATTCATCTTATTTTATTTGTCACTTGATAAATAGCAATAATCACGGCTTTCATTATTTGTCCGTCTTTTTTCGAAAATATATTGTGAGTCAGAAATTTCCTTTAACTTTTTTTAATAATTTTATTCTAACAATAATTTATTGCTTATATATATATCAAACATTATATATATATAT